GAAACTTCAGAACGAGCACAACATGCACCATCACCGAGCGCTCAATCGATGACATCTGAGTCTTAAGGTCGGTCAAAAATGGGGTGTCTACAGGATGTCCAAGTACGAGTTGCAGGTGGAAGAGATTTGGTTTTGTCTTTTTAATCAGTAGAGACTATGGAGGAAAATCTCTTAAGAATTAAGCACTGGCTTAAGGAATGGTATGGATCGGTTCTTGAATGGAAATAAGGAATGACTCTGGATCCAGAAAGATACGTTTGGTTGAGCTGCTATGGTGTTCCATTGAATCTGTGGAGCTGTAACACATTCACTAACATTGGTAAAGTGTGGGATGTAGTGATTAGCTTGGATGAGGGCACTCGTAATTTAAATTTTCTTCAGTGTGGAAAAGTGAAGATAGTAACGTGATATATGGAATCTATTAATCACATCATTAATTTGGAGTGTAGAGGACAATTATACCTAGTTAGGGTTTGTGAGGAACAAGTGATTGTATCAAACGAAGTAAAGCTACACTGCTCTTGCAAATCACATGAATGAAAGATTAGTGAGAACCATAATCTTGAGGAGGATAAGACTCAGATTACAGACCAATGGAGTAGGCATGAGGATGATGATGAGAAAGGAGTTGAAGCTGTATCAACCAATGCTACCGCTACTGTCATGGAAGAGGATGATAGGCTTAGGGATGTATCTGTGGTGGCAGAAACAGAAATGTCAAAGGAGGTGTCATAGGTAGGTGGCACACGAGAGAGTGGCTCTGCATGGATGATGGTGAGTTCCAAGACGAGAGATAATGATGGAAATCGTCAGGAAGATGGAGAAATCTTTACCCCAGGATTTATCAAAAGCATCAGTGGTTCTAAAGGGATTAGACCTGGGATTCATTTAGAAGTGGGGTTAATGGTGGCCCAATTAACTTGTGGCCCTTATGGTATTAGGTATAAGGCTCAAGCTGTTGTGGATCCTCTAAGGGCCCATTTGCTTGGTGGCCCTGATGGGTCAGTATAAGAAACTGCTAAGTTGGGTTCTGTTGACAATTATAACCCACAAATTCCCAATGTAGTTGCAGACCAAATTCAAGGGGAAGTGCTTCACTATACGCTCAAGGAAAAAGGGGTGTTGAGTGGAATAAATCCAGCTCTACAAAGAAAGGTCTCCTTGAAGGTGAAGGGTAAAGAAATATGAAGAAAACAATGGCAGAAGAAAGGGTAGAGAGTGTCTTCACTGAACTTAAGGAAATGAGCAATCTTTAGGTCGACTATAGCTGCCATCTCATTCTCAATGGGAAATGAATCTAGCAGAG